GAATGTGTTTTTGCATTCACAGAAAGCTACAAGAATTATCTCTTAAAAATATATATAAAAATAAAGTTTTGATTTTTCTGCAAACCTCACACAAGAAAGATGGGTTTAAAGCTATAAGTTTCAGTGTATAATTTCTGAAAGAGGATGTAAACAAAGAATATTTTCTGATTTTTTTTTTTGTAACTTGTTTACATTAGAGGCTTTGGTATATATATTGAAACTTATAGCCGTTTATAGCCGTTGTATTCATTTGAATATCTTTGACTCCATCATTACTAATTTGAATATCTTTCATTTGAACCTTTTGGCATGTTGTTGTACTGGACTGTTTGAACCTTTGTTTTGGGTTGTTTGAACCTCGCATATTATTGTTCTAAAAATTAATGGGCACCCTGTATTAGATCATTTATACATAAAGGTTATAAATATAGAGAATTCGACATAATAAAATCCCATACACATGTAAATGTATGAGTATGTATTACATATATTAGCATTCAATTATTTTATGTATTCAGCTCGCACATAGCTGCTTAAAGTATGTGGACCACTATGCAATTATTTAATTTGAGTGGAGTGGGCACACTCAAATGAAACAAAATAATAATAATAATAATAATAATAATAATAATAATAATAATAATAATTCATGTGTTTGATTTTAGTTTTTTGAATTTAATTTTTTGAAAACTAAATTTTTTATTTTTCGTATTTTTTTATTTTTAATGAATATTTTTTAAATTTAAGTAATTTTTTTACTTTTTTAGATGCACCTTACTTAGATGTATCTAAATAGTAAAATATTTGTGAAAAAATATTTTAAAAAATTAATAAATACACAAAAAACAAAAAATATACTGAATTTTTTTTTTTTTTTTTTGTATTTTTCGGTATTTAGTGTATTTTTAAAAGATTTTTTCACAAATATTATGCTTTTTAAGTGTATTTATGTTAGGTGTGTCTAAATTTTTTTTAAAAAATGCTTAAGAAAATATTAAAGTACGAAAAATAAAAAAGTAAAATTTTTTGAAAACTTTTTTTTGAAAACCAGAACCAAACATGCTGAATAATTTTTTTAAATGAACTAACTTACATTATTTTTCACAAATATTAAATAATATCACCACAAGAATCTAAAAAGAATTGAAAATATGTTTCGCTTAGGCTTGATTTTTGTGAATTATTTGATAGAGAGGAATTAAATTAAATAATATAATTCCTTTATAAATTTTCTCAATTCATTTGTGCACCATCACACAGAGACATTAGAGGGGGCTTCAACTAAAAAAATGAGTAATTTCATTTTAGAGTATATTTAAAAAAATATTTACAGATTAATAATAAATTTTATACATATTAAAAAGTAGAATTATAAATTTTATCATACATTTTAATTAATTTTTAGAAAAATCTCGGATATGTTATTTTTTCTTAAAAAAATTTAAATAGGCCACCTGTCAAGCTTTGTATCCTTTGTTTCATATTTATATAGGTAAGTATGATTACTAACATTACAAACATGGAAATCTATCATGTTCATAAAATCAGTTATGCTACTTCAGAATTCCTTCTATCACGGCCTCTTCCATGGTGGTAATTGTTGACAATAATGTGTAGATGGGTGGTGGTACAATAACCACGGTGATATTGGGAGATAAATGAAAGAAAAGAAGAAAATACAGATAAATTAATAAAATTATTTTTAAAATGATATATAAAAAGGCCATAGTATCCTTTTGCGTGTAAAAGAAATTAAATTGACGGTTGTGATTAATATATTTTTAAAAATTAAAATTTTAGTTTTAATTTAAGATACGAGTCAAATATTAAAGTTTAATTGTAATAGGATTAAATTTTGATGTTATTTATTAAGTAGTTTTTCCCAACTTATTTCCTTATCGATTATTCTTACCCTAGCAAAACACATATAATCTTACAGTATTTCTAATGGTTTGCTATAACAACTAGGGGTGTACGCAGTGCGATTCAGTTGATTTGAAAGTAAGATTATAAATCGAATGACAGATTAGTGGATTGGCAAATTACGGTTTTAGTGGTTTTGGATAGATTGGCGGATTGAAAAATATTCTAACAAATCATCAAGTATTTACATAATATATCATACTAATTCATATAATATTTGCATATATATAACACAAACTAATTTTACATAATATTTTTCATATATATAACTACTAATTTGTAATAAATTTCACATATTAAATCTCTCACACTCATTTTTATTTTGATATTTCATTATAGATTAAAAAATATATATGTATTAATTATAGCGGAGCGGTTTCGAAGGCGGATTATAAATTTTAAAATTTAAACTACGGTTAGTGGATAGAACGGTGCGGATCGATGCAGTTTTAATAGATTAGACAGTATTTTGCACATCTCTAATAACAACTACAAAAGCCAAAGTATGACAGCTTAAATTGATTTGGATTCTCCAATGGCATGCCATAGCAGGTGTCAAATTTGGTATAAGTTTTGGCAAATGTCAAATCTATTAGCTCAGTCAAAACCAACTGATTTTCTTCATTCATTTCCTCTTTTCCTTTCTCTTTCTTTCTTTTCCTTTCCTAGAAAAATCTCCCAAAAACAGATTAATTATTATTTTTATTTAAAATGAAATTCACCACAAAAATAAATAAATAAACATAAATCACCAACAAACCCTTCAATTTTTTATTTTTTTTTACTTTTTTAAAAACAAATTTCACCAAATTTTTGTTAAATGTCATAATCTTGGTTGAGATTGTGCCAAAATGACTTTGCACCATTGAAACACTATTATTATAATTTGATAATTTACTGATGTAGCATGTCAAATTATAATTTTGACAATGCTATAATGACAATTATCATTAGAGATGTTCTTACTCAGGTGATATCTTTTTTTGTCAAACAAAAAAGGGAAAGACTATAATACATATCATACATTATTAATATTAAGATCTCTTTTGGCAACCCAAAAAAAAGTTTCATTTTTTTTTTTGTTTTTAGTGATTTTTAAAAAAATTTATGTCACATTTTTTTACTTTATCAGTCCGTCTTTTTCAAGACAAATTTAAGAAATATATTTTTTTGGAAATTTCAAAAAAAAAGAAGAAGTTAAAATAAGTCAATTTTTTTTTTTACTTATTTTCGTTTATTTTTATCTTTTTTTAATTTTTTTAGCATTTTTTCAAAAAATTAAATCAAGAAACTTAATTTTTTTAAAAAAAATCAATAAAAAACGAAATAAGCACAAAAAAAAAATTATAATTAAATTCCAAAACAACCCTAAATGGGAAAGTTATTTACTCTGTTGACACTAGGGATAGCCACGGGGTGGGTTTGCCATTCCCCATCTCGGTTCCAGCCGACAAATCTAATCCTGCCACCGTTACGGGTGGAATTTTTCAACCCCACCCCTACGGATACCCAATACCCGCGGATAACCAATCACATTTCAAATAGTCAAAAAAATTAAGAATCATTTAAATTCTTAGCACACTAAAATATATTTTTTTTATTTTCATATATATAAACATCGAGACTTCTAAGATTATTATTTATTTATATTTAAACAAAATAAAAAACTTTTAATATTATTTTATATCTAATTACATTTTATATATATATTATTTATTTATATATTATTAATTATATCGGGTCGGATTTGGATGATGAAAAATGATGAGTATGTCCCCTTGCCTTTATTACAAACAACTCCACTCCACTACGTAGCTCGAATTATCAACGGCTCGAATGGCTCGAAATCTCAAAATAACGTCGTTTTGGATTTTTTTTTTATCTTAGCGGTAAGATTTATTCTCTTACCGGTAAGATAATTTTTCCGTACCAGGTCTGAGTCATTCTCTTATCGGTAAGAATGTCAAAACGACGTCGTTTTGACATTCGGGCCATTCGAGCTCTCACGCATTTTCCAAAATATAATACACTCCTGTCCTACATAAATTTCAAAATAGGTAAAGTCCATCCCATTCAAACGAGTACGAAACAACTATGTGGATTGAATTTTCAAGCGCCATCCCTAGTTAACACTTAGGCCCTGTTTGTTTGGGGTTATTGGGAAGGGATTGGAATTGATAGTGAGGTGTGACTCACTATATGAGATGTTTGTTTTGAGAGATGAGGAGCGGACTTCTAATCTCTTAGTATTAGGACATACCTTGGAAGGGGGATTGAGATGGAAGAGGTAGAGGTGGAGGTGGTATTAGAAAAATAGTCCCAAGGACTAAATTTATTTTATTTTATTTATTTATTTATTACATGTTGGGTATTTTTTTTGAATATTAATGTTTAATTTTTTGTATTTTTTTGTTAATTAAAAATCATTGTTTTTGTTTGTTTTATTTTTATTTTTTGAAATTTTTAATTTTTTAATTTTTTTTTATATATTGGACTTTTTTTTTTAACATTAATGTTTAATTTTTTGTATTTTTTATTATTTTATATAAAAATAATTTAACAATCCCTACACTAACAACTATTATCAAAACAAACACAATTTTACTTAGTCCCCTCACTAACAATCCCTTTACTATGAATTCCTTCCATTTTTTTTAAAAAAAACAAACGGGGCCTTAAGAGCTCGTTTGGGAGAGAGAGTTTGAGACTTTTTTTGCTAAAATAATCACAGAAAAAATAAAATAAATTTTTTAATTTAATAAGATAAAATATATATTTAATTCATAATTATTACATTTTTTTTTTACAAAAAAAAAATTAAAGCTAAAAGCTCTTCTCAAATTAATCTTTTTAATCTCAAATTAAAATAATCAAAAAAATTAAAACTTCAAAAAATCAATCAACTTCCCAAACGAAATCTTAATTTATTCTTGAGTGTATAATTCTTAATAATGATCAAAATCAGTATCAATGTTGGTCTCGGTTTGCAGCCCTAGAGACCACAAGCACTAGGAAAAAGATGGGGTTCTCGTGGTGGCCTTAGAAACCACATTTTAAAGTACTTGGCTCTGAATGAAAAAGCAAAGCAGTGGGAGAGAGAGAGAGAGCAAAAAATGCGTCCGAGGGCTAACAATGGCATGGGTTGGATGGAAGGAGAGGAAGACGATGCAGTTTCTTGGAGCAGAAACAACAACAACCACGAAGGAGAGACCACGGACGCAGACTTGAACCACCCTTCTCTCTCTACTTTCAAATCCTTTCTCGAAAGTGATTGGTACATGAACAATGCTATAATCATGAACCCAGACTTCCAAACCATCCCAGAATTCAAAGATATGAACATGAACATGAATATGACCTTCTCTTCTTCTTCTTCTTCTTCTAATCCCCCAACTACTGTGCCTGCTGATAATCTTCTCTTACAGCAGCCAAAGCCAATGGATTCCTCCTCCTCCTGCTCTCCCTCTCAAACATTCAACTTCGACCCATCACTCTCTCACCCATTCTTGCCTCCTCCCTCATCTTGCTTTTCTTCACTCTTCAATGTTGTCTGTAACAACAACAACAACCCTTTTGAAAACGGCTTCGATTTGGGCTGTGACACTAATTTTCTTGAAAATCATAATTGTAATTCCCCCATGTTGATGGGTTTCAATGGTCCGAGTTGGAGTTCTTCTGAGTTTCCAGCAACCCGTTTGGTGCAGATTTCTGACAACAACGCTGCAATTGGTTTCGAGGGTTCTTCTTCTGGGGATGGGGATGCTCCGTTTCTGAACAGGTCTAAGGTTTTGCGGCCTCCTGAAATTTTACAACCTGTTGGAACTCAGCCCACTCTCTTTCAGAAGAGAGCTGCTTTACGACAAAGCTCTGCTGCCGGAGCCATTAATTTGGGGAATTTGGACTTGAGGAAGAGCACCGAGGTTTCAGCAAGAGCTGATGGAAATTGGGGAAAGAGACTGGACGATGGAGAATTGAAGAAGAAGAGGAAGATAAACGATGAAGATGAATTTGAGGAAGCCAGTATTGATGCGTCGGGACTTAATTATGATTCTTCTGATGAGCCTTTTGAGAACAAGGTGGTTGAGAGTGAGGATACCAACAATGGTGGTAATAACAATTCCAATGCTAACACCACCGTCACTACTGTTGTTGTTGGAGATGATCAAAAGGAAAAGGGAAAGAAAAAGGGGCTGCCAGCCAAAAATTTGATGGCTGAGAGGCGGCGAAGGAAAAAGCTCAATGATAGGCTATACATGCTTAGGTCTGTTGTCCCCAAAATCAGCAAGGTATGAATATATCTATAAAAATGAGTTTCTAACTCTCTCCTGTGCTCTGCTAACTTTACACCACAGAGTGTGTTTTGAATTTAACCCAGTTATGATGATTTATGGTAATTTTTTTCCAAAAATACAAAGGAATTCAGGGCTAATCCTAAGAATTTTTAGACAATATTTTAAATATCTTGTACTAAAGCCTGAAGTGAGTTTCTTTAGTGCAGGAAGGCATAGATAGTTTTGGTCCTCATAGAGACCTTCATCAAATGATTTGTGATTTGAATTCACAATCGTATTGCACAACTGATTGTTCTCATTATGTGATGTCTGCAGATGGATAGAGCTTCAATACTTGGAGATGCCATTGAATACTTGAAGGAGCTTTTGCAAAGGATCAATGATCTCCACAATGAACTTGAGGCAACCCCACTGGCACCAGGATCTTTGCTGCCACTGCCACCAACAAGCAGCTTCCATCCATTGACACCCACCCCACCGACCCTTCCATATCGTATCAAAGAAGAATTATGCCCAAGTTCATTGCCCAGCCCTAAAAACCAACCTGCAAGGGTAATTTCATTAATGTAGAAATTGGCTTACTGAGTTGGTCAGTCTTGAATATTGATGTTTTATGAGTTCCTACCTTCTCGTTTTGCCTGAGTTTTGAGTTAGGCATTTTTAAGTGTATGGATGCTCATAAACTGTTTCTTTTTTATTAATTTTTTATTTATTTATTTTTTTCCAAAAAAAGAAAGTGGGGGAGCGGGGTGGGGGGGTGTTATTTGGTCCAATTACCAGAAATGGTTTCTCTGAAACGTATTATCAGAAGACGGTAATGCAATGTTTGGTTGAGAGATTTGGGAAAAGATTTGGAAAAGAAAAGAGAAAAGGTATGTGAAACTAAGTGAAATGTAGATATATTTTATTCATATTTCGTCAAATTTTTTTTTTCTTTTTCAAATCCTCTAACTAAACACAGCGAAAAAGCTTTTGAGAGCATGGTGTTTTTTTGCCATTTTATCATCCCCAAGTCCCAACTAGAAGCATAGAATGGAAAAGTTCGTTCTGGTGTTTCCTGAAAATTGGTGCTTTCAAACTGATTATTTTTATAATGGTTTATGATACCAACGAACAAAACAATTTTTCTTGTGTGGTATTATGCTATCTCTAACTCTAGTCTCTGCCGATTATGCCCTTTCTGTCTTTGTCGAGCGGTGCTCACGAACTTCGGAAACTATGACAGATTAATAAATGTATGTTCATTGGACCTGGGTTGGATATAGAAATTAGAGTATATAAATCTTTTTATATTTAGTATTATATATATAATTTGTGATTGTGTTAATAACTGATTTAGGCCTTGTTTGGGAATAAATTATTTTAGTAACTTTTTGACAGTAACTAGTATATTTGGAATAATTTTTTGATTTTTTATGAAAAGATATGCAAAAACTAGAAAGAATAATAAATCTTTTAATTTTTTGGTATAGATTATGGACTTTTTAATTTTTTTATTAACTTTTTGGTTTTTTAGCTAAAACACTCGTATGCCAAACGAGGTCTTAGTATTGTTTTGTTATTTATGTCGTTTTCTAAATTGTATCATGAATCTATTATATATATATATATATATGGTCTCTGTCTCATTGATTGGTAAGTCAAATAATTTTTTTTATTTTTTTTGGTATCAAAGTTAGGTTAAGTACATAGTAATTTTGCTTCACTGGCGGCAGACAACCTTATCTTGGCCACCTGTCGGACCTCAACCCATTCTACTGTCATATTTTCTTTCAATATCACTTCGTGGTGATCTCTTCCTCTATTTACTAGTTTATTCCTATCCTAAATATCTCTATCATATATTTTTTTTTACTTGCAATCCATTTTTTTCTTTGTGTTTCTGTTCCACTTTGTCTTTTCCTCTATTTCAACCTCAAATAGGTTTCTATCTTCAAACCTATTTGACTTTGAGGGGAGTATTATACCTATGTCATGGTGAGCATGGTGATATATCATATGAACCACCTAAGTCGCCCCATCTGGTGCACAACCCAAGTTGTCCCCTCTAGCACACAACCCAAGTCGCCCCCTTGGTGCACCACCTAAGTTGTCCCCTCTGGTGCACAACTAAAGTCGCCCCCTCTAACGTACCACCAAAGTCGCCCCTTGGCGCATAACTAAAGTTGCCCCCTCTAGCGCACTACCAAAGTTGGACCCTGGTGCACTTTCTAATAAGCCATCTCTTGGCGCACTCAATCATCTATTGCTATCATCGTTCAGCAGCACATCATAAGTTATGTGTGTGTCATGCTTGGTGGTTCAACATCCAGTTCTCTACATGGGTCCAACATGACCTCTTTAAACTGTCTCAATATTGATTCCGGTTAGTCTCTATAATGGTTCAACATAACCCCTTAAACTGTCCCGACATTGATTTCAGTTAGTTCCTACAACGGTCCTGCATGACCTTAAATTGTCCTGACATTAGTTCCGACCAGTTTTTATAACGGTCCGACACGACCATAAACTATCTCCCGACATTAGCTCCGGCCTCTGATGCCTTCCAGGGTCTGGCTGGCTGCTGACCAAGGTGTTTCTTGGCCATAGATACTTCAGAAACTCTTCCAGGGCAATTCAGTCCCTGTTTTTTTTTCCTTTCTAGGATGTGGTGCTGATGTATTAAGCACTTTTTGGCCTTTTTATTTAGTGGATTACCAGATTTGTTCGGTAGCATTTATTTGGACTAGCCGTTGAGTTTTTTTCGGCCTCTTTCAGTCATCCATTAGCAAACTGCAATTGTTGAATATTTTCACACCAGTTTGAGGGAGAGTGATGAATATAGAAATTAAAGTACATACAATTTTTTTATTTTTAGTATTATGTATATAATCTGTGATTGTATCAATCATTGATTTATGTTTGATTAATTTCTATATGAAGGTTAATGTAGTACTGATGAATAAGTTGTTTATGATTCTTTTCATTCTTTTCTGGGATAGGACTAATTTATCAATGACATTTACACGTAGTGTGGTTTCAATGCCATGATCCTAAAGAAAATGAATTAAAACATTTGTGTAGGTGCTCAAATGGGTATTTGTCTCATTATACATATTGGCGTGAACCAAAGTTGCTAAAAAAATTAAAAATTGGGAGTATGCTTTTGTTGTATATTTGGATTTTTCCTGGTCGGTTGAGTGTTAAGAATTCAGTTTTATGTTTGATTAATTACCATATGAAGGTTAATGTAGTACTGATGAATAAGTTGTTTATGTCCTTTGACAAACAATTGGATCCTATGGTTCAATCATTTTGTTACACAGGACACAGTTTGTCCTAGTGGAATGCCCAGTGAAATGTCCCATGCTTGTGGTAATTGGATATTTTCATATATGAAATTGGTGGTGCTGTTTATGTGATCAAAGAGTTAATTGGAGTCCATTTGTTTAAAACACTAATCCTTTGCTAGACAAGACTAAAGTGTTTCATAGCCTTGTTAAGCATATCATTTAATGTTTACCAAAAATCAGCTTGTACGATTACTGCAGGAAATTCCTTTTGTTCTTCTCAAGAAAATTCTGTGCATGTTGTGTAGGTTGAGGTTAGGGTAAGAGAAGGGAGGGCTGTTAACATCCACATGTTCTGTGCCCGCAGACCAGGTCTCTTGCTCTCCACCATGAGGGCTCTGGACAACCTTGGGCTGGACATTCAGCAAGCCGTCATCAGCTGTTTCAATGGGTTTGCTTTGGATGTATTTATAGCTGAGGTATATGGATCTTATTCTGTCATTATCCTTTTAAGCTTCATTTGCTTCTAAAAAAAAATCATATCCTTTGCTTGATGAAAGTAACTGGATAGAATTTATCCTTTAAGAGAGAGAGAGAGAGTAACGTGATAGAAGATCAATCACAAGTTATAACTAGCATTCAATGCAATGATTTGTTATCTAATCTCCTCCATATGCCAGATGCTTGCATCCTTTTCCACATTCGGAACTAGCAAAGTCCACAATTTTATGGGGTCCAACCTAAAATGAGTTGCCAAACCTCGCTGATCTTTTATTTTTGCTATACCTATGAAATTTTATGGACCGACTTTAAATACATCACTCCCTTTTCCTGGGTTTCTACTTTGTGGTAGAGGCCTAATCAGAATGTATTTGATTTATTTTCCATGGTTTGGGATCTTTAACCCAGTGTGTAGTATTGGTTTATATTTTGTTTTATCACCAGCAATGCAGGGAAGGCCTAGAAGTTGTACCCGAGCAGATCAAAGCAGTACTTCTGGACTCGGCTGGTTTCCAGTTGTAGCTTTGCTCTCCGACATTTGAATTTGCAAAGCGGTGCGGTGGAGAAAATTTCATGGGATAGTCCGATGATATGGAACTGATAAATCCAAGTAGGTTCACCACACGTTAAACCAGGTCTCTGTATTAGGTTGGATTATTGATAGATAGTGTACTTCTCTCCAGCATTATGCTTGGAAGTAGTACTTGATTGATGCAGTAGTGTTGCCTCCAGTAACTTGAGTTTTTCTTTCTTTATTTATTTTTAAATAAGATTATGTGGGTTTGGTTTGAGCTTTCTGGATTAAGTTTTTTGAAAATTAAGCTTTTTGGTTTTTGTGTTTTTTTGTTTTTAGTAAATGTTTTTAAAATTTTAAACATTTTTTTTTAGTTTTTTAGATGCACCTTACTTAGATGTATTTAAAAAGTAAAAAATTTATGAAAAAATATTTTAAAAAATTAATAAATACATAAAAATATTAAAAAATGTAATTTTTTTATTTTTGGTATTTAATGAATTTTTTAAAGATTTTTGTACAATTTTTTTACTTTTTAAGTGTATTTATGTTAGGTGTGTCTAAAAAATAAAAATTGCTTAAAATATTAAAAAAATTCAGTAAAAACAAAAAAATACGAAAAATAAGAAAATAGAATTTTTTGAAAAATGTTTTTGAAAAAATAGAACCAAGCAAGCTGATTGTTTTTCCATTTTTGCTGGCTTTTCTTGCTTGCTTGTTTGTTTGTTTTTAATTTTTAATTTTTTTTAAGTTTTTCTAAACGGTGGTGATACATGCACTAATTAATGTACACATTAGTGTATCAATTAGTGTTATGCCATTATTATTAACTCCACCTATTATACAAATTACAAATATCTAAAGCCTCTAAAATTATATCACATCACTTGTTAATATACTAGTTAGTAGACTAATTGATACATATAACATTATTTATTGTGTTTTTTTATTTTTTGTTTTTCGTGTTTTTTTTTTGTTTTTAGTTAATATTTTTTAAATTTTAAGCAATTTTTTTACTTTTTTAAATGCACCTTACTTAGATGTATTTAAATAATAAATATTTGTGAAAAAATATTTTTAAAATTTAATAAATACACAGAATATGAAAAATGTATTAAATTTTTGTATTTTTTGATAATTAATATATTTTTTTTATAAAAAAAATCACAAATATTATACTTTTTAAGATCCGCCCATTAGAATAATCAAACATATAGCTAACTTTTTTTTTTTCTTCTCTGTTTTGTTTGCCACCAGGGACGGACGACCAACAGGGCCACGGCCCCGCTCAAATAAAAAAATATTATTAAAATATATTACTTTTAAATTTAATATTAATAATAAATAATTGTTTAAGCAAAGATGGTCCCCACTGTTGCTTTTGTCATTGTTAAATGCGTCCCACCGGAAAAATGGATTGATTTTTTGATTTATTGACTATTTAGTCTGAGATTAAAAAGTTTAGTTTGGAAAAAAATTTTGATTTTTTTTAGTTTTTTAAATTTTTTTGTAAGAGAAAGAATGTAATAATTATGGGTTGAATATGATGTTTTATCTTATTAAGCTAAAAAATCTATTTTGTTTTTTGTGACTATTTTAACTCAAAAAACCTCAAAACCAACTTGGCAAACGAAGGCTAAGTCTCTTTTTTTCCCCTTTTTTTAATAAAAAAAAAAAAAAAAAAAAAAAAAAAAAAAAAAACTGAACATAGCATAAAAAATAAAATTTAATTAAAATTCACTTCTATTTCTTGATGAGAGAGAGACCGAAAGTAGAAAGAAAAAAAAACCTAAGAAGGGTTTTGATTTGCTGTACACCTAGGGCTGTAAATCTGACCCGACTTGGTCTATGTCGGGCCTCGCAAACTTTTGTTAAAATTTGGGTTGGGCCGGGCCGGGCCGCCTCACGGGCCAAAACAATAAAGCTCAAACCCAAGCCCAGGCGCAGGGATATTTGGGCCGGCCCGATGGGCCTGAGCCTGCCCTCGGTCTTGGGCGGACCTGACCAATTTTTTTTTAAAATTTTTTTTATAAAAAAATTTCTATCAAAAATTTATTATTTTTTACTAAAAAATACACTGGGTCTCGGATAGATTGGACCTTGAACCGGATTTTGAGTAGGTTTTAAGTGAGCTAATAGGCTGGCCTACGGGCCGATGGGCCTGAGCCTGCCCTCGGTCTTGGGCGGACCTGACCAATTTTTTTTTTAAATTTTTTTTATAAAAAAATTTCTATCAAAAGTTTATTATTTTTTACTAAAAAATACACTGGGTCTCGGATAGATCGGACCTTGAACCGGGTTTTGAGTGGGTTTTAAGCGGGCTAATAGGCTGGCCTACGGGCCGAGCCGGGCCAGGCTTCAAAATGATGACCCAAGCCTCGGGGCTCGGCCCATCCCAGGCGGTTATTTTTACACTCCTATGTACACTGTTTTATTGATTAAAAATCTAGTTTTTTTTTTTTTTTTTTGAAGCCAAAAAAACATGGGAACATAAAAAAAAAAAAGTGTTGCTTTTGCCATTAATCTTCTTATTATTACAAGTGGGTGAGTCATATTCTCTTTTATTATTATTTTTAATTTATAATACTTTTATTATTTTTTTTTTCTTTCAATGTCATGTTGATATAATTGTAAATTTTTTAATTTTACATATTAAGTAAAAAAAAACATCAATTTAGGACGTATGATCTCAATTACTAGGTTTTTTTTTAATCATATTTGGAAAAATTTAATTTTATTCAGATTAAGTGTTATAAATTCAAAATTAAAATGAATTCAGACTTGTATATAATTTATGTGTTGAATCTGAATTTATGTCTTAACTCCCTGCAAATGAATTCCTCATTGCGTCGTTGTTTGCCACCAACACTTTAGTTAGTCTTGTTGGTAACTTTATTGCTCAAACCATGGTTAATACTTAGCTCTGGTTTGGTTATCATTTTAGGGATAATAAAATACAAAATGGCAACATAGGTTAAATAAACTAATAAGGCAAAATATCACATTCAACCCATAATCATTACAATTTTTTTCTTACAAAAATTAAAAAAGTCAAAAAATCCAAATCAAATGAGACTAAAACAGTAAGGTTAAAAAACTCCCAACACAAAAAAGTTGGCTATATTAGTCAATGTCAAACGAAACTTTGGACTATCTTCAATAGATCGTGCTATTTCAATTCTGTCAATACAATATTTTAGCATGTTATAGTGTTAAAAGTGTCACTGCAACTGGGCCTCGTTTGGCAAATATATGTTTTAATCAAAAAGTCACTATAAGTTGTCACATTACTCTCTTTATTTTTCTACACATCTTTTAGTAAAAAATCAAAAAATTACTAAAATAATTTGTTCCAAAGCCTTAATTTCGATCATGCGTTACGATTGTGTATACCTAATCATATATATATATATATATATACATATATTCACAACATCTTTAAATTTAATCTTCAATTTAAAAAACTATAATATAATAATTAATATTTATAAAAATTTGAATTTTTTTATTTAATCCAAACTTACACTAATAAATTCCTTAACAACTCTATTGGAGCAAGAAAATGAATTTTTTTTTGCTACTCTTTTCTTTTTCTACTTACTGTTGGCTTATTTTTCTTACGAAGGAAAATATCATAAATGTGAGCGTACCAATAAGGATTGAAAAATTCTTACAGATTAAATTCAAGCCAATTATCAAGCTATTGCGTTAACGGTTCTTTTGTCTCAATGAAGTGAATTTCAAAATTGCCAAGTGTTAAAGAAAAGAAGAATGAAAGAAAAACAGAAAAATGATTGAATGAACAATCAAAGTAACAATTACTTACTTCTACTCCTATGCCTTGAAAAGGAAGTGCATAAAATGCTTCAAAAAGGAAATATTAAAAATAAATGCTTTGAAAAGAAAGTGCATAAAATAAAATGTGGGAAATATAAATAATAAGAAAAATATAAATCAATTGTCTTTGATTTGAGTTCTGGCCTTTACAATGTAGCCATGAATGACTATTTATAGACAAACATTTATAGGAAAAAACTACCTAAAACTATCCGCTCCTCCACCACCTCCATTTCATACTACATGATCTTCTATAACTTCATTCAACCTGTACTTCATGCTCTATATTTTGCACTTTATTCTCTATCATCTTTTCACATTTTATAACTTCTCATAACCTCAAAATAAATAAGAAGATGCTATATGTCTTGCAATTATGTCCAACACTTACACACCTAAATATGAGAAATTATTTAGTGATTGTAGTTGTGGAATGTTATTCTACACCATTCATGTCAAAACGCTTGTTCTATTACTTCTTAAAAGGAGACAAAAACGAAAAGGGGGCACCACCTTATTTTTGCAGCAAATTATAAATATATTCATTGGAGATGTCATTTGCAGTGTTTTTAAAGGCGAGAGCGCAAGGCGAGGCATTTTACCCTTGTTGAGGCGAGGCGTAAGCCTTTTAAATTTTGATTTTTTTAATTTTTATAAAATACAAAATTAATTAAATATAGCATAAAAAGAGTAAAGAAAATAAGAATTGCCAAATAAAATCTTTAAAGGCCATTCTAAGCATATAACCAAAATTAATTAATTATTTCAAGTATTATAAGTGCTTTCTAAGTCATTCTCATTAATACTATAATAAAAAATTAACTTCAGTGATAGTCAAAAACTTAAATTCCAATTGTTCAATAAACAAAATAACTTAAAACTCTAATACTCTATAAACAAAGCAATAAATAAATAATAGGTCACTCTAAGTCATCCTCGTTAATATTGTCATCATCTTCGTCTGCTATATCTATAATGGGATGAGTTCCATCATCTATTCCACCAACTTCTTCCGACTCCGTGTCTTCATCTGCAAGGGTGCATCTTGCTGCCTTGCCTTTTCCTCTATCATTTCCTATACAAGAAATAGGATTTCAAATTAATTAAATAGGCACATATAATAATATATATGCAATTAGTCCATAATTGTTTAACAACTTACTTGAACCTTCACCAACTTTTTTTTCTTCGTATTCAAAGATGAGTCAACATTAATCGTGTCGTAGTTGATTGATTCTCCATACTTCTATCATATGTAGTGATAAGCACAGTCCTAATTGCTTCAGCATCGAACAATTCTTCTTCATCAAGCCAAGAAGCATCAAGGGAGAGGACAGGATCTTCTTTTTCAACAATCCATTCATCATCCGAATCAATTTCATCGATTAGTATTGAATCGATGTTTTGTCTTCTTCTGATACTCCTCTCTCTTAGTTTAGTGTTGTA